TACCAAATTCCCACGAAACTACATGAACTCTCTACGGACTCCGTCAGTGGAACAAGTATTGGATAACCTTGTCGCAAAACCTTGCATCAGATCGCCGCGCCTGGGCAGCGATGATTCGAGATGTTCATGAAGCCGGCTCATCCTCCCGTAGGAGATAGCCGAAGTAAAGTAAAGTAAGTGTGTTCACATTGACGATAATGTCAACAGGAATACGAATGTAAAGTTGAGAGTTAATAGAAATAGCCATAACACAGTAAATATATTAGTGATTTGAATAATAAGAAAGGGTTGTTTACTTACTTACTGTCCCTCAGTGAAGTGTTAGTAGTTTCATACCACACACAACACTTCTCATCCATCACATTTAATGAATGCACATACCATACAATGAATCTTAGTTATTCAAGTGTTGGGTTTTTTCATTGATTGGTTACAGGATTTCATCATGACCAGCTGACATTGGTTAGAGAATCATTTGAAAAAACCAGCCACAGGGAGTAGTAGTACTAGACAGCCAACTGTTTCGTCAGTCTGTTATTCAGCAGTACGCACCCACCGCCAGTGGTCAAACCCATGACCCATTCTGGTTACAAGGTGAGCTAGCTAGCTGGTCGCGCTATGTCGTGCGTGAATTGGCAGAAGTTAAAATTCATGTATATTTTCCCTTGAAATTGAAGTACTGTGGAAGTCAGGCATAGCTGTATTCCCAGCATCATGTCCTCAAGTGAAATTCCACTAGGTAGCTCGCCATCACGGTGCACACATTGATTTAATGATATTAGATAGTTCTTCAGGGGGATTTTTGCACCAGAGCAACATATATAATCATCTTACTATACATTATAGGTTCTCAGCCAACTTAATCTGTCTGACTGTGACCAGTGATAAAATTTGCTAACTTTCTATAATCTACACCATTTTGAATTTTAAAAAAATATATCTTTGATTCGTATACATAATCGAGCTAAGGAAGGGAAATCAGTCGACAAGACTGTGAAATTGCATCGAATGAGATGGTTAGGACATGTGTTACGCATGCATGACTAGTCATCGCCTTCCTCGAAATTGGGAAATGTTAGCTGATATATGATTGGCCAGGCTGGAAAAGGGCTAGCGGCGGTGAAACCAAAACACGATTTCACCAGTCAATGAAATCTAAAACAGTTAGTCTAGGCCACGAAGGAAGGTGTAGACTGGCTTCCTGACTGGTTGGGGTCCTCGGGACGGTAAAAACCAATGGTTGGAAACAATTGGTGACATGGCTCACAATCATTCTCAATACATAGCGTAGATGCATCCACTTCTTGTGACTTATCATTCCCGATGAAACTATATTGTTCTTCGTTATTACTATTCCTTTGTCTCACCACACCTTTGTTTACTGTCTCTCTCTCTCTATTATGCATTTCTTCTACTTTCTTCTCTTGGTTTGTGTGCTACATGGAGTGGAGGGAGTGTGGCGACTTGAACTGCCGCGCATATGTGCAAAGTTCTATGTCGGAAACCGACTGACCAACCTTAACCTTAGTCAATGTTGCCTGCCAGGACCATCCTTTGACACTTTTGGTCTGAAGCATGAGTTCCTGTTGTGCTTTGCGTTATTATTTCTTATGTGAGAGATAGTTTACTCTGCTTCAGTCACAGGGGGGTGGGAGAGTCCGTATCTACTTCCCATTCTCTCACTCGGTTTGCATTCATGAATGGTGAACACAACTATGCGGTGCAACTGTGTAGGCTGGCTGGCTGGCTAGCTGATTGATTGATTGGCGGCTGGACTGCTCCTCGAAAAATTGCATCCCAGTCATCTCTACTTAAAGTGTTGATCGCTTAACTTATCTCCAAATACAGCTGACGTGTTTTTCAATTATTTCGTTGATTTGCTTGTGGCTAATACCTGTATTGAAGAAATAGTGCTGAACTGGAGTAGCTTGGGTCAGGCTTTTGTATTTTGTGATGTACTCACGAATTTCATATTTTATATATGTGTGTGTGTTTTGGAATGCGATTCATATCACACACACACACACACGTACATTGGTAAAAATTAGTTAGTGAATGTGTTTTAAAATAAGGTTTTGCTTTTCCTACAACTGAACCTCTTAGTGTTTATGGCAATAAAAAAACCAGCTTAAAATTGATCATTGTGTAAAAGAAAAAGATTCTAGTTATTTCATTTCTAGACTTCCTTATGACCAGAAAAGAGTATGACACAATAACAAGAAGAAGAAGCGTAAATAGAAAACCTACATCAGCTGCCTGTCAGTATACTCATTTTCTCAGCTTCGTGCCCTTCTTGAAATACAAACGCAATCTGATAAAGTGCTTGGTCCGCCACAGAGCAAGAACAATCTGCTCGGGTTAATGTCTTGATGAGGAAATTAGTAATAATATTAAACGATTGCTGAGTAAAAGTGGTTATCCAGAAAAGTAAAAAGAAAGGCTTTATTCATACAAATGCGGTCAGTTGCTTGGGGACATCAGTGAGATACTAACACAGCTGTGTCTTAGAAATGAGGCGGTAAAACGAAGAGCATTCCGTGCTGCTGACGAATTACGTTGTGTCTTCAAAACCACTCACAACTCTCTTGCGTTCGTTCGAGAGTAAAAGACGAACTGCCTAATTTCGCCTCTTCCATGTGTGTATGTGTGTATATCTACCGATTTGACTGTTCTCCTGTGGAGTGAGCCAGTTACTTGCATAGGCCGTACAATTAGGCGTGTTTCTCGTCGAATTTCCGAACATCACCCACCCTGCACAGCCGTTGGTTGGTTAAGTAATGAACAAACAAAATCTATTCTCAGCGCTGCTATTCTATCTCACTCATCTTCTTGTGGATACACAACACAAGACTGATTGATGTTAACAAGGCGGCTTTCAGGGTCATCTACCGCATACCAACCAACAAATCTCAATTTCGCCTCAACAGTTTGACTACCAAATACATTGCTGAGGCTGGCTGGCTGGCTGTTGGGATCCATATTAACAAGCCTAATTTGTGCATCCAAAAGAAGTTGGTTGGTTGGTTCAGACATTATCCTTACCCGCTTGACCATCTAGGTTTGAATGATCGATCCCTAATTTTTGTGGAATTTCCCTAATTTTAGTTGATATTCTCTTTGCTACTATAACTTTGTTATTATTATGGTTATTATAATTTAAAAATCTTTAATGAACTGTGGTGATTCCATTGTGATCTTGCTTTACAAATGGATATTATTTAAAAAGCACATTCATATTGTTATTGACTACTAATCTAGAATATTCTATGCTCATTTTTTTTCTTTGTTGGGTACATATCAAATTAGTAGCTATTGGTCAAGACTTCTAAGTTTAACTTTTTACAGATTCTTTCAGTTGACCAAGCGTGTGTGAGGTTCATTGAAGAATCGAACATCGATGATGGGGAAAATTTTCCAATTCTTTTCCAATGCAACATAAATTCGTAATCGAAGATATAAATATGTTTGTGATATTATTGTTGATTGTTGTCTGATCTCCTGATCTAGGGTCAGAGACGTTGAAGACTGCAATATAAATTTTTACCAAAAGTAGTTTGCGAAACACAGATTAGTATCCCTCGAACATTCGTGGTTAGTAATGGTCATGTAGTCAAAAGGGGGGGGGGCGGCGGGGGTTGATCAGTCGATTTTATGAAGAATAGTATGGAGAGTTTGAGGCGACGTGAAAAGTAGTTTTTGGAACTGATCAACTGATTGATATCCGAGTACCGACCAAAGGGCGGGTGAACTGCTCAGCCAGCAGTCCGCTCTGTCCTCCTTTATGGCTGACTATGAGACCTGGCCATTGAGAGCGGAAGACATGAAAAGCCTGGCTAGCTGTTTTCGATCATAGGTGCCTGTTTGCGTTCTATCTCCCGTGTGAAGTGGTATAGTAAGGTGAGCAATATTGAGGTTAGGTGTCGGTCGAGTGCTAGGTAGGTGAGAATGGAAAGCAATCGACGAGGCTGTGAAGCAGTTACACTGATTGAGATGGTTAGGACATGTGTTACGAATGAATGCCTAGTCATCGCCTTCCTCGACAATGGGCAATGTTAGCTGGCTGACATAGAATTAGTCAGGCTGGAGAAGAGCTAGCCAGTGGTGATCAAACCAAAACATGGCTTCATCAGTCAATGAAATCCACAACAGTTGGTTTAAGCCAGCCAGCCAGCCAGTCACGTAGGAAGGTGTAGACTGGCTTCCTGACTGGTTGGGGTCCTCGGGATGACGGTAAAAACCAATGAAGGCTGGAAACAATTGGTGATGGTATGGCTCAAAGTGATCGTTCTCAATGGCTGGCTGGCGCAGATGCATCCACTCCTTGTGACTTATGATTTCCAATGAAACTATATTGTTCTTCGTTATTACTATTCCTTTGTCTCACCACACCTCTGTTTACTGTCTCTCTATTATGCATTTCTTCTACTTTCTTCTCTTGCTTTGTGTGCTACATGGAGTGTGGCAACTTGAACTGCCGCACATTTGTGCAAAGTTCTATGTCGAAAACCGACCGACCGACAGGCGTAAATCATGTTATTACTGAACAAGTGAGTTAGTTTATTAAATGTCGATGTCAAAAGCGGGGGGGGGGTTGATCAGTCAATTTTTATCAACAATAGTTTGGTGATGAGTTTGAGGCGACGTGAAAAGTAGTTGTTATGGAACTGATCCACTCAAGTTACACTCTGTTCTTTCCAAGTTTTGAGAACATGTGTAGTGTTAACTTACTTTTTGACTACTGCCTTACCTATGTAGTGGCAGTTCTTTCTTTTCTCTCTCTCTCTAAACAGTTTAATGTTCTTATTTCTTTGGACCTTTGGAGTTGTTTTTTCTTTAACATTTTGTGTAGCAAAATTAAGTTTTTTAATGTCGATTTTATCCTTTGTGTGTTTTTCATAATGTTTTTCCAGCTAATCAGAATATTATCCCTCAACAACAACAACAACAACAGCAACCTAACAACCTTAATGTGGCAAATCAACAAAATCGCTTCCCTGCTAATAACATGTGCTTTCCACAACACCCTAACAATATACAATCGGTCCTACCTCGACCACCTATCAGAATGCTACCATCACACTCTTCATGGCCGCAAGAATCATCCCGCACAAATACGCATACCGGTAAGTTATTTGATTTCAATTAAGTTGTATTTTAACTGAATAAAAATGCCCATTAAAATTATTTTCAAAAGAATGGATAGTTACTGAACAAAGAATATAATAAATACTCTTTTCGATAACCCCTTCATCATCATCATCAGGCTCTACAGTTATATATCCATCCATCCATTATAGTGAATGAAGGAATGAATGAATGAATTAGTGTTATGAACAACAACATTAATGTTGTTGTTTAAATAACATCGAGTCAATAATACTAGTAATAATATCAGTGGATTACAGTTCAATAGCATCAACATAACAATACACATTGAATGTCAGTTGAATTAGGAGAGATAATATTACAAATTCATCAATTTATAGTCTCTACTGAAGGCCGGTCAGGGCAGTAGTAGTGTCTACCTAGCGGCACTTGCTTCTTCTCCACACAGAGCACTCACTCGTTATTTGAGGCGAATTGCAATAGCCTCTGGTGTTTGGAGCATCCGGTGCTTCGATGATGATTTTGTCAATTTATTAGGCACCCGGTAGATGATGATAGAGAAGGATTCTTCCACACTGCCTTTGTGGCCGGTTTGCACCAGATGGTCCAATATCGAACTGTTGATGGCGGTTTTCAGTACACACCTTTACTTAGCAATAGTGGGAGATGTTCTCGAGCGAGTGAGCACGAAAATTCAAGTTCCAAGAGCAACGGCCAATATAACTCGCTCCACCAGCACAAGCGCAGTTGAATTGGTAGATACAATTTGAAGTGGCCAGCTAGTTTAGTCTAGGTACTTCATCTTTCAGTCGAGAAACCCCCATCGGTTGTGTAGAGAATAAGACGTGTAGTTCGCCGCCAACAGTAAAAGTTCTTTGAACTGATTTTCTTAATTTCTTCGTAATTATCTCACTTGGTTTATCGATCGCCCTCGAATCGCAATCGTATATAAAGTGGCTTCTTGTTTACGGATGGAGATTGAGTAGTCCTTTTCCGCCGCTTTCTTTCTAATTTGTTTCTTGATAGCTATTTGTCGGGATAGCTATTTCCGATCAAGGTATCATATACAATGCTTAGTTCATTTTAAATTACTTCTTCTGAGCATATAGCTCTAACTCTGTGGCTGAGGATCTTTACTAAATTTCTTTTGTACTTGAGAGGAACGAAGCTGTGAAAATGTGTGTATATTGATTGTCCTGTCCAAGTAATTTTGTCTATGCAAATTTCTGGTTTGTTTGTTGTATTGTGAGGATTTTAATACACCTCGATTACATCCGAGCTGCCTCTTTCATGTGTGGTTTTTTATTCGGTAGTTAGTAAGGATTGAGGACCGAAATACAACTTCTCTTTCATTAACTAGCTGAGTGGACTAGAGTGCACCGCAGCTGGATGTTCACACCACTGCCAGACACATACACACACACGAAGGCGTACACTGAACCATGTAAAAGCAGTCAGTGATGTGTGTGTGTGTGGTGTGTGTGTGTGTGATATTAGTGTGTTGAAAATCTGAATGTTGTTCTTCATACTGAAAGTGCAGCAGATTTCCACAGCAATTTCACAGCACATGTGAAAGTCCGTCTGGCTTTCCCGATCCCACCCACCTTTTACATCGTCAACTCTCCCACCAGTAGTTGTTGAAAACATTGCTCACTTGGATAAGTGATGAAAGAAGACATTTGCCTGAAATTTCCCCCCGTTGATGGTGATCGCTGTTTGTTGCCGCGATGTGGACTCAATGCCTTCATCACTCTGATGTGTCTTCTGTTGATTAACTCGAAGTCTGTGTGTGTGTGTGTGTCTGTTTTTGACATAGAACTTTGCGCCGGTGTGCAGCAGTTCAAGTCGCCACACTCCCTCCACTCCATGTAGCACACAAACCAAGAGAAGAAAGTAGAAGAAATGCATAATAGAAAAGAGACAGTAAACAAAGGTGTGGTGAGACAAAGGAATAGTAATAACGAAGAACGATATAGTTTCACTGGAAATCATAAGTCACAAGGAGTGGATGCATCTGCGCCAGCCAGCCATTGAGAACGATCACTTTGAGGTATACCATCACCAACTGTTTCCAGCCTTCATTGGTTTTTACCGTCATCCCGAGGACCCCAACCAGTCAGGAAGCCAGTCTACACCTTCCTACGTGATGGCTGGCTGGCTGGCTTAAACCAACTGTTGTGGATTTCATTGACTGATGAAGCCATGTTTTGGTTTGATCACCACTGGCTAGCTCTTCTCCAGCCTGACTAATTCTATGTCAGCCAGCTAACATTGCCCATTGTCGAGGAAGGCGATGACTAGGCATTCATTCGTAACACATGTCATAACCATCTCAATCAGTGTAACTGCTTCACAGCCTCGTCGATTGCTTTCCATTCTCACCTACCTAGCACTCGACCGACACCTAACCTCAATATTGCTCACCTTACTATACCACTTCACACGGGAGATAGAACGCAAACAGGCACCTATGATCGAAAACAGCTAGCCAGGCTTTTCATGTCTTCCGCTCTCAATGGTCAGGTCTCATAGTCAGCCATAAAGAAGGACGGAGCGAACTGCTGTACACTCGCCCTATGGTCGATAGCCAGCCAGCTGGATATCACGTCTACTGAGCTAGAGATGGCGTAAACTGGCATATGCGAAACTAGCCCTTTCTATCCGTACTGAGATTTCATCAGAGATCAACCCGTTAGCACTGGCTGATGATACTTCCCAAATAAGTGCAGTGGGTTCGAGTTCGTAAACTTGAACTTTTTATATTGGCTGCGTCTTGTGCCAACTTGTTGATTGCCACCTGTGTTAATTGTCGAGTTTGTCTGACACTAGACATACGAATCGCTCGCGAAGTTCAAATCATCCAGTGTGTCTTCTCTACTCGGTGCGATGTGTATGCCTGTGTTGTCGTTGCTCATGGTCTGTCGCGGGATCCACCTCATCAGAATCAGGAATACCAATAGTGATTGACGGTAGACAACCTTGTCTTACTCCTGTCTTCAATTCAGAGGCTTCATTCAGTGAGTTAGTTGTCTGTTGTTGATCACCCTACATGATTCACTATCATATAGCTGTGGGGTTAGGTTGATTATTAGATATGATAGAGAAAATTTGTTGCTTAGGTGGATGATTTTGATGTGGCGTTGTGTTCTCTCTCTGAGCGAGCAGCTGGATAGTAGTTAATTTGCGAAGCTTTGATCATCGCCCTACTACTACTAGGCAGGCAGGCGACATCTTCCCCTTCAGCGCATACTTCACTTCAATTTGAATTTTGTTGAAGTGAGCTTTTAAATTTCTTCTCCACGAGTTCATCATTAATCATCTTTCCTCGTCGGTGACCACCTTGAACGTGATTGGTTGTTTCTGTGTGTTTTTCTTCACACCCTCTAGGCTACTTCTATTGGAACTGATTGTTTCTTTGATTTGAACTATGACCCTTTGTGTGTGTGAGGTTTCTTTCTTTTCGGTTGGTAAATTTTGTCAATCTCGATGTGCGTCTATTGATTGGTGATTCACTGGAATACCAGACAGGCTTCTAAAAATTCCCTGGCTAGCATTCTCGGTGTTGTTTCCTCTGTCTGTCTAATATTTGAACGTTGGTTGTCCCAGTCGAATTCATGTCCGTGGTTGTCTGTATTCAGTGAGGCGATATGAGCAACGGAGTGGATGTCATGTCTTTTGACGACTAACTTATGTGTCATGGATATGAAGACGAAGAGCAGGGACGTTCACTTTGGCCAATGTAGTGTTTTTCGCAGTTGTTACAATTTGTTGTGTAGATGATATTGGTTTTATCTTTTTTTTCGTTGAGTTGTTGAGTCTTTTGGTTGACATAGAGCAAGCTGAGGGAAGTGATTTTGATGGTTTGTGTGCAACGTCAATTCCTCATCAAGGTTTAAAGAGTCTTGCTGTGATTTCTGACATATCCTTCATATATATATATATATATATATATATATATATATATATATATATATGGGTTGATTATTGCTTGCCTCATTCAAATCGATCTGTGTGTCTAGTATCCGCTAAGATTCGAATTGTTCTCTTTTACCTGTATGCAGCCAGTTCCTTCGAGGTTTGACATATTCATCAATGTCGCTGCATCCACCTCAGGCTTTCCTTACCACTTTTTTATGTTGATAGCCCAACTAACTAACCAACTGTCGCTTGCGTTGTGTAGATTAATTTCTAGCTGTCTATATAGAAAATATACCTATTTAGACATTTGGAAAACAGAAAGATTGAGCAGCGAAGAAATATTTACTTTTCAATTAGATCCTCTTCTCTCTCTGGCTCTACTCTAATATACACGTATACACGCATTTTTATTACAATACACAACAGTTTACCAAACAAGTGGCGATATGTTTTTTAACAATAATTAAACAGTGTCAAAATATCAAGCAGTGGGTTGATAATTAACGAAGAAAATCAATACATAGTTAAAAGGTAGGAATGGATAGAATAAAATAATTTTACAAGGATAACACGTAATTAAAGATGAAGTGATCAAAATCAATAAAAATAAAATAATTTGGACAATTATAATTTAATAGGGGGAGGGGGGTGACGTAGTCCTGTTTATGCGTTCTTGTAACGATGGCCACGGTAAGGAAAGTGGCTGTACAAATTTCTTCTGTACACATAGGCTTGATTTCTTCTGGTGTATTCCGATTGCTTCAGCTGTCGTATGTAGAAGACGAACTCGTAGAGCAAAGTTAAGATTAGTCGGAATGCGATAAATAATTTTAAATGCAGTATTCACATCAACCTTATGCTCAGTATCAACAAGGTGTGCTAAAATAGAACTACGAATAGATCTTGTTTGTCCCTTGCTTTACCACGACGATGAAACTGCCTAATTGTTTAATTATTGTTAACAAACATATCACCACTTGTTTGGTAAACTGTTGTGTATTGTAATTAAAATGCTATACGTATATATTATAGTAGAGCCAGAGAGAGAAGAGGATCTAATTGAAAAGAAAATATTTCTCCGCTCAATCTTTCTGTTTTC